AAAAAGGGGCCGGATTTGTGAACAGTAAGGATCAAAAAGGGGATTTTTTCGGTACAGGGACTAAAAAGGGGCTTTTTCCTATAGTAGAGGGACCAAAAAGGGTATTTAACCTTTTCCCATCAAGTGACATGAAGAATAAACATTGAGCACATACACTAGCGTTAATCCTCTCCCCAACTACCACACACCCCAATGAAATTATTCCCCTCTATCAGCTCCTTCTTTTTAAACACATTAACATTCCATATGCACAAAAGGCCTCCGGACATCCCCACAGAAGGTTTAAAGATCCAATCAAAGTCATCAGTACCCCAAACTCTCCTACAAGTACTTCTATCAATACTTTCCATTTTCGTCTCATGAATTATTAAAAAATCTACTCTCTCCTTCAAGACCAGCTCCCTTATTTTTCTTTTTTTTCCCACCCCACCTAGTCCTCTGATATTAAAGGATAACAATATCATTAAGGGCTTTGCTTACCTTCTGTGCATTATCTACTTCCCGGTTCATCTTCACTTCCTTTGCTTGTTTGTCTCTACATTCCATTTCTTCAATTTTTTCCAAAATCACATCATCATTCTCTGCTATCGCCCCCAGTTGTTTTGCTAATTGCCATATTTCTTTAGCTAACTGGTTTTGAAGTTGTTTTTTCATCACCCTGTTGCAATTTTGAATTCCACTGTCGCCGATGGAGATATCTGCTACTTCACCTTCTGGGCTCCTTAGAAACTCCGGCATTTGCTTCTCCCCCGTTGCTTTCTTGATCTTTCTCCTATGACCATTTGATCTTTGCTTTCTCTCCCTAGCAGCTTCCTCCCTTTGATAAACCGAGCTATAGAGACTAATTTTCTTCCTCCTTTTCTGTTGGGTTCCCATCAACTGCCTCAGCTTTCGGTTTTGCCTCTGTTTTCTTTCACGCTCGCAGCCTTAGCAAGTCAGATCTCCTTCTTGCCTCTGTTCTTCTTCACCGTCAGCCTCTTCCCAATACCCTTCCCCTTCCTGGCTGTGTTCTTCTGCATGCTCAAGACCCCTCCGAATCCGGTTTCCCTCTTGTCTCTACTGTTTGTCTCTTTTAAGAGCAGACCGATTCAAAGCTCCTTCTCTCCTCTGTTCTTCATCGTCTTCAGCTTCTTCCCAGAATCGATTCTCTTCTTGGTTGTATCCCTCTGCATGTTCGAAACCCCACCGAACTTGGTCTCCCTCTTGACTATGCTCTTCGTCACTTTCAAGGTCCGGTCGAACCAAGACATCTTCTCTCCTCTGTTCTTCTGCAGTTTCGGAGTGCTTCCATTTCAACTTTCCTTCAACCTTTTTGCCTTTAGCTAAATCCACCTCTCCGATTCCAGATTCCTCCATTTCTTTATCAAAAAATAGGCTTGGGTTTAACTTTTTAAGGCCCAAGCCCATATTGGAGGACTCCACATTACTTGGGCTAGCACCTTGTGAATTAGTCTTTCTACTATGACTCCTATACACTTTTTCCTTTTGACCCAAATTACTTCTTTCCACTTCACCCGGGCTTGCTATCTTTTCACTCCTCACGGACTGCTGCTTCCTTTGTTCCCCTTTTGCTTTGGACATTCCACAATTCAAAATTTGAACATGGTCCAGGCTATCTACCACTACTTCAATAGTCATCTCTTCCCCTTGATCAGAGTGCAAACGGCCATTTTCACTAATCTTTTTTTTACTGTGTGCCACCTCATCATCTTCTTTCTTCGCCTCATCTGATCTTTCTTTTTCCTACTCCATCTCTGCAATATTTTCAAAATCAAAGCCCTCATTTTCACTACCCAGCGACCATGATTCAAAATCCTCAGATTCACTTTGGAAGGTGGGCATGAAATCTTGCTTCAAGGAGAAAAAACTATTGGAGAATTCCTCCTCCGTGAACTTGACATTGTAGAAAGACCCATTAATTTTAATTTGTCTTCTAATTGAAATGGTGTTCATACTCAGAGTTGAAATTAAGAATCTGGCAATGTCAAACCTCTTCCTCTGGCTTGTACTATCATCTAAGCATATAAATTTTCCCCATGAAGCTCCCATGGATGCAAAAAACTCTGGCCCCCAAGCATTCAAAAGAACTCCTTGACATCTAATCCATACAAATCTTTCATCAGCGACCATTTCTGGAGACCACGGTCGTACCTCTTCGAACCATCTTCCTAACCATTCGGATGCCATCTCCACTAGTGCTTTTACTTCTTCTTTGTCATCCCCATCTAACAGCACCATTTTTCCTCCCATAGCACGAATTCGACAAGAAAAATACCCTTCCATGTAGAATTTTTCCTGTAGATTGCATACCATTTCCACATTATGGACCTTTCCTACATAACATCCATCCAGCCATGTGTAGTCTTCTGCTTTGACATTATATTCGAATCTAACCCACCTGTCAATTTTCCTTTTTCCTGCCATACTTGTCTGCCATTGTTGCTCTGTTTTCCAGCTCTAGATCTACTTCTTCTCTGCCCGTGAACTTCAGTTTGGATTTCATTAAGCTGGGTTATTCCTTCCTCATTCTGTCTTTTTGCTTGATGGCCTCTCACCACCTCAACGTAGCTCCTTCTCTGAATTAGCGGTTCTGGATGGTGCTTATTATCCTGCACCCTTGTGTCCTTCTGTGCCCCATCATATCTTGGGGTATTCACCCATAATTTGCGGTTCTCTATCCAGATCTGGTCCAGTTTTCTTTCTAGCTCCTTCTTGTCCTTCACCTCCAGAAATCTCACAAACCCA